TTATTTCTGTTCTGGATTACCATCAGATTTCTGAAGGAAAATTATAGATACTGATTAAGCTCTTCTGTCAGTCAGAGCAAAGGTTAATTACATGCAGCAATGAGAAAGATTTTTATGTCTTCTGGGTCTATGATCATGTCAAAAGTAATATTTAGTCTGACTTCAAGCAAATGATGAACGAACGAGAAACTGGTCAAATTTTAATCCAGGAAATAATATAGTAGATGGGTAGCCATTCACATACAAATTTAAAGTCTGCGAATACAATTCTTGATAGATTGGGTTTTGGTGTCTAGACATGACCAAATATGGTAATCTGTCTAATTGTCAGCAAATAATAGTTGTAATAATAACACCATGTTATAAGAACCAATGAGAATTCTTCTTATGTCATTTTCCTACAATGGCTCAAACCTACGAATAACTTCATAAAGAAGAATTATTAGATCCATATTAACAGGTTACATGATTTTTGTTACATCATGCAAATTTTGTTACTCACTATAACAACATTAATTGACCAAAGTTAACAGTTGGATAATCCAGTTCAACCTCATCTCTGATATAATGGACTCGACCTAGAAATTAACACAAATGGGTTGCAACACATTTTATTATGTAATTTGAATGTATATAAACTGATTTACTTTCAATTGTTCCATTTTTACTTGATTTTCAAATCAGTTATGTTTGGCGAAATACACCAGAAGTCTCAATCGAATGAGAATCTCTAGCATCTGGTTATTCCAGTCTAAACAGATAGTATTTATTGCGCATCCTCTCAAGATAAGAATATGGCGTCACCATTTGACATGACTTGTGGAATATGTCTAGCCTCATTCTTCGAGTCCCTTGTTACAAATGGCACTGTTACGCATTATTGTACACAATTTGTGTGCCAATGGTAAAATGTTTATTTTGTCTTAAATATCGGATATCAGAAGCCCATCTTTTCCCGGTAAGATCACAACATCAATGTTGATTTAAATTGACAAACAATTTGTGTTTTCAATGTCGAAAACTTTGGATGATACTGAATTAGAGACTTAGCTACTTTAAGTTAGAAACAGTACTTCAGTTGTGTATGGTCTCTATTTTAAGTGCAGGAGAACCCAATAAGACAAACCTGCGGACAAGATAAACTACACAGACAGTTCAAGAAGTAAACAAGAAATATCAATTCAAGTGAATGGGTCCGGGGTCAACCTAAAGCATCCTCTCTGCTGTACAATCCCGGTGCTTGTAATAATACAGGCTTCATTCAAAAGGAAAAAGAGACTGATTAACAAGAAAGACGTAATGTGACCAGTCTTGACGGTGGTCATCTTCTGAATGGTAACAGTCTGCCACTTGATGTCATGAGCAAGAACATCAAAAATTTAAAAACAAAAAGGGCGATAATCCGGATAGAATTTTGGAAAACGCTAAAAATTAATAAATAAATCAAACAGGAGCAAAGCCCAACAATGAGAGCATTCTGCGGTACGAAGGGCTAAAACTCTAATTAAAGTAACAATGTGTCATTTGCATTTTTCACTAAAATATCAAATTTCTTATGGCTTAACCCACATTAATATGTATTCAGACTGATTATTTAACAAAAACAAAATACCAGAGCTAGAGAACTTCCTGGCTTCGATCAAATCAGATTTAAAACAGGCAAATCAATTCTGTTCGCCCACAACGAAATGGAGATAGGTATATTACATAGCAGCATATATAATAATGAAATTTCAATTTAACATATCTTTGTGAATACCGAACTGAACTGAACCATTTTTGGACCAATATTCATGTTACAATTCATCTTTCACAATATTGTAGTTTGCAATGGATTCCCATTGCACTAAAATGATGCAACAAGACTTTAATTTTCATCAACACTTTATTCTGAGACCAAGATATTTTTTATGTATAAAATTTCATCCAACCTAATTTTCAAATCCAATTGTAAGGACACCTTTTACAGCTACGTCACATGACCGTAAGCACTTATTTGCGTCCTCTGAACAAACATTGTTTGAAAAATCCTGAACACTCTTCTAGAGCCAAAAATTGGAAAAGAATAAATTTTATAGGTAAATCTGAAACATATACAAATCACTTCTATCCCAATAAATTTATATGAAACTCAATGATCCACATTATAAATTTGTATAGTTGTAAATCTATTAATTACTACAAATTGTTCTGTATACATAGAATAATAACAATTGTACCATCCTTCAAATAAGTTATCGCCAAAACGTAGGTGGTGGACATTTACCAGTATCCATAATTCTATGTTGCTAACGATATCTTTAATGACTGATTGTCTAGTCGCCAGTTTCAAAAAAAAAATGTTATACTTTCTTTTTAATTTCACTAGAGCAAAACACAATGATGTGGTAAGTCTAGCCGTCATTTCCTTTAGTTGTTTAAGAAACACATTAAAAACGATCTGTTGCTCAAGTTGCTAAGCCCAACTTAAGAAAGTAATGTTTGAAGATTGACTACTTTTTAATGCCCAGCCAAGTTTGATGGCCACTCAGTAATGGAGTTTAATACTTAACCTGCTAGAGAATTTGAAGAATGAACCTTTTTCATGTCTGACACTAACATGCAAAAAGCCAATTCACTTATTCTGGACCTAACAACAATGTGCCAAGTTTTAGTGCAAGACATGGTCAACGTATCCCACATAGTGAAATATATGGGTCTCTTTATAACATGGGTGTTGTCAAAGGACAACAAACATTAGCAATATAGTGACACCTAGTATATATCATTGCTCAATTAACTTGTAATCAACAAGGTATGCATACTCTTTCTAGAATACCCCCCTCTTCATTCGCCCAGTAGGAGCAGAACAATAGGGAGTTAAACCGCATATCATTTCATTTCAATTCTAGAATTCATGATACCATTTTTCAATGTAAGTTGATATATCAATATCTGACCCAAATTGTTTTGTACTTTTGTATTTAAGTGTTTTGCCATAAGAGAGGTGTGATCATAGTATCAAGTTCTAGTATTCAAGATGTCATAGCAGGAAGTCCAAGATAGAAAAGACTAGAAAGGATCATTTTGTCAGTGAATTTACCATGAAACTGATCCTTTGGCTTGTGAGTAAGTCTGGGATCCAATTTGTCAGAGTTTACTCGTGCGGGACTGACAAGAAAAGTATTATCCAGCCATTCAGTTGGGACAGTAACTTAGGTCCACTCACGTGGGCCTACACACTTGAGTGTACATACATGCATGTAAAAGAGACCTAGACTGTTAAAATTTAAAGGGAGTATGGCCCTAATATTTGGAACCTTAAAATAAACGAAAAGGGGTCTAAAATCTCATATTAATGTAATACACACCAAAATTAACTTCCATGGAAGCGGACGTTAAATGAAGCGGACGTTAAATAAAGCTATTTCACTCACACATAATATGAATGTATATAAAGTGATTTATATTCAAATTTTAAATTTCTTATTGTAATTTTTAATCAATTATGTTCGGTGAAATATGTGAACAGTCTAAATTTAAGGCCTTCTTTTACGCCTGCTTTGTCCATTCTACACGGGGTTTTTTTCTATTATAATTTGGTTGTTTGTGAATCGGGGGGGTAGGGGGCAAATGGTTTGTGCATGCGCGCTGTATCATCCCCAAGAATTGATTCCCTGGTTGTACGTGACAGGGAGTAGGGTCGCCTGTCCAACCTTGTGGGTTTTCTCGAGGTCCTCCAGTTTCCTCCCACTGCTAAAGACCCCTAGGCAAGAGCGTATAATTGAAATAAAAAATTGAACCATATGGTAGTCTCAAAATGACCTAGTTTGTGTCGAGTGGACGTTAAACCCTATTTCACTCTCTCTCTCGTTTGTGAATCGGTCATTACTAATTACTTTTGCAATGTCTTTTAAGATATGTTTTTCTCTGTTCATTACGCATGGCACCCAAAACCATGTTTTTCTATGTTCATTACGCATGGCATCCAAAAACATTAAATACACAACTTGCGTACTGGTTTTAAAATATGCTTTATGTCTTAAATTTTTAATGTTATGGAAAATATTGAGTTAGAAGTTAACCTTCTTTAAATGAAAATCATACAGAAGAATGTATGTCTGTCCAAGTAAAATTCTCCTCCCTAGAATTGCACATATGACAATAAACAAGTACGACCATACTACGAAATAAAGTGAAATGAAATGGGGTTTAACGGCCTACTACTTTGCTCCGACTGGGCTAATGAAGACATACACCATACTGGGTGCTATGACAGAAATTTTGCTCGGAAAATGGCATTAAGGCCGATCGCAATTCCAACTGTCAAGGGATCTTTTACGTGCATGCCAATGTATACACTGGACCTCGATTTTTCGTCCCACCCGAGCAACTAGAATGCTGTCCTTGTCAGGCCCTCCATCCTGCACCACTGACAAGGGGGAACCACATCGGAAAATCCTGATGAACTTTCTCGGCCAATGCAGGGATCGAAAACGTGACCTTCAGTCTAGCGAGCCAGCATCTTACCCACTTAGCCACACCATACTGCGAACCATGGGCTGAACATTATGGTCCATGACTGCATTGTGGTCTGTCAATAGATGCATAATTGTCCAAAGAAATGAAATGGTGTTTAACATCATACATTTCTGCACCAACCCAGCTAATGAAGACAGACATTCGCCATGCCGAGAGCTTCCAGTGTCGCCTCATGAGGAACAAGATTACCCACTGTACGTGATCGATTTCTGATTCAAACTAATAGCTGCATATCAGTCTCAAAATGAATTAATTATTCCATTCCTATATTGTCAGAAAATATCAATAAAACTTTGTAATTATATTTTACTTGTTATTGTGAAGCAATATGTTTACATGTTAATTGGATGATCCTATAAATCATCTCCCCCCTCTACATACATATTAAGCAATATAATTGTTAGATTTCTTCTTTTATTCACCACACGTGGGAAGGAAGACCATTAACAACTTGTATAATGATTTAAAGATACACTCACCATCTTTTTTATAGTACAATATATCCACCTGTTTCTCTTCACTACCCTGCAATGCCTCCTTGATCTGTAAGATGGCCAAAGCACTTGTTAAGGGACCATGTAGAAAATCACACAGGGATGATTTCTGCATTACTTCCGCTCGAGAACATCCTGTTAACTCACAGAAACCATCATTACAAAATATTATCGGCAGTGTCTCTACCTGTGCATTGGCAATCACAAAATTTCGATCTGAAAGAGAAAATAAAATTAACAGAGTGAAACAAATTACAGTTGTTATTGTCAAGGAGGTTTATTTCTGTGGGTGTTCGTAACTGGAAGGCTTTATGGCTGTTTTATTCAAGTCGAATATTCCCCCTTGGCTTTGATGTTAGTTAAGTTTTTGCTTACAAGAAATTGATCAAATTAAAACTAGTTATTGCTTTTAGCTTGAATTTACACACAGAGACTCATCCAAAAACAGACATGTACATGATTTCTTCCCAGCTAAATCAAAAGAAAAACAATAGAACTTAGCTAGAGATCGTTTTGAACTATTTTTGATGTCATATTTACTGAAATAACATTTGTTTTTAATTTTTCGTAAGATTACCAGAAGCTTTAACTTGTGAATTCATTTGATCTTTGTTATCCTTTGTCTTACAATTCATCAATCTCTATTCTAATATCCTGAACAATAATTATTCAAAACATACTTTTATTGGACTATTGAATAATTCAATTAAGCAATTAATCATATAATACCATGAATTTGGGGGGCTTTTGTTATGGTTATTAATCATAAAAGATATTGTGTGTGTAAAAAGAATGATATTCCTGTTCCGCACTGTCGATACTGGTGCATAAAAGTTTTTATGAAAAATCTTTCCAATGTGGGCTTATACCTGATTGTAAATGATACAATGAGCAATTAACTGTTATGCGTGCTTGAGAATGAAAATCTACTAAGTAGTCATACTTAAATGTTTTAAATATTGCAGGCAACTGTAAAATGATACAGTTTTGGGTCAATAAAACAATTCTTGGGGAGAGAGAGAGAAATGGGGTTTAACGTCCACTCGACACAAACTAGGTCATTTCGGGACTAACATATTCAATTTTATTTCAATAATTTGCTTGTGCGTAGGGGTCTTTAGCAGTGGGAGGAAACCGGAAGACCCGTTGAAAATCCACGAGATTGGACAGGCGACCCTACTCTTTGTCACGTACAACCAGGGAATCAATTCTTGGGGATAACTCACATTCACACAATATTGTCAAATATATATTATGTATTGTTTAATGTTTGAGAGCGAGACATTGCGTAATATATTTAACAACATGAGGGCCGTGAGGCCCGAATGTTTTTACAATATATTACGCAATGTCTTAAGCTCGAGACCATTAAACAACTTAAAATACAGACACTTGCACATGCTTTGCAATGAAATACGTCACTCGAGTTCAATATTTTACCAAGTTACGCTTGGCACATTGCCCGTACGATTATTTGAAATAATGGTACTCTAACATCAAAGGATGACGTCACATCTGTATTTTAAAATACCATATTATAGACTTCAACTAAAAGTTTGAAGTGCAATAGGTTTAAATTGAGTAACCAAAGTAAAACTCATTTTTAAACTTTCTACTTATTAATGTCTCTGCTGCACGGTTTATGACTATCGACATATGACTTTCTCTATATAAGGAGTACTGGTAAGTGTTATCTAATGGTAGAATGTAATTTGTCTATATCAATTTTCTCTTTCCCTCTTCACCCCATCATCTATTGCTTGGCAATTTTTTTCCCAGACTGGTTTACAATCAAAGAAAACTGTTTGAATTTACATTTTCTACAACCATCATACATCAGGAGGTAAACAGACGCCAGGAAAATCCCCTAAGAATATGAAGTCACAGTCACAACATGTAGGTTTATTTGACGACCGTACATATTAAAGAAATCAAGACAATCAACTCCCTTCTACATTTGTATGAGATAATTGTGAAATAATGGTTTCTTTGTGGTTTAAAGATTAAGATAATTGGAATGTTAAAGTGAGAGAAATGACATGAAATTAACATTGTCCATGATAAAATAAAATTGGTCTAGGTGGTCCCAGCCTAATCGAATGAAATAATAGTGTCTGGATAGATGGGTCTTTAACATGATGACCTCTGTAAATATGTTGTGTATATTTGGCACAGGAACTTATTGTCTAATAAATGTTGGTACAGATGCAGTAAGACTTTATATAATATCTTAACAATGGCCACAATATATTATAAAAGTTCAATATACAAATTTTTAGCCATGTTAACTCGGACAAAATCAAAGCTAGTGTTTATAAATTAGTAACTATACCAATTCTCATGTTGCTTACTTTTAATACCATATATGGAAATGGAAATTCAGAATTTGTATAGGCAGTGGTCTACAATGGATTACGTGTAATTACCAAAACAAATTCTCTTTCATAATTCTTTCAATATAAAAGCACTATTTTCTGAAAAAAGATCCTTTTTAGAAACTGATTTTCTATTTTGCATGTTTAGCAGAAAATCATATTCTATAGTGATTAGCATTATAAGAAAATGTCACAGAGAAGGTCATAGTTTCTCCTGGAGAAGGCTATTTATAGTAATAGTATCTCCACTTCAATCACTGACAATAGATCTGCTTGGCTAACTTCTGCCTTATTTGATCTGCACGTTCAACAAGTAATCAGACTTTTTACATCTCATCTTTTCTTTAGCTGGCCATTTTCTGCACTTAATGGATTACAGCATTTGTCAAAGTCACAGTGTTGTCAAGTCGTAACTGTTTTTTTCTATCATTGTACGTCAATTACTCTGGACAAAGACAGATTCTCTTTGGTGGGGTTTTAATAAAGTCATGTTTCCTTGCGCTCTCATCTAATTACTCTATGTCAAAAGGCATTGTAAGTAATGGATTGTAATTTATAACACTAAAACAGTCTTCTATTTATTTCTATTTCTCCACTCTAACTTTACTGAAATTTTAAAATCAGAATAAATGGTTGCAGTTGGAATGCAGAAAAAAAAACCATATATCAAAATGTAAAACCTGTCTGCATTCGGTTCAATGAAAATGGCAAGCCTTCTATGGATAATGCCAGATTAATCTGTATTAAACAAATAAATGTAACCATAACCCTCGAAATAAAATCTTTCCAGACACAGAAGTTTTGAATAAAAATTTGTATTAATTATTTTAGCCGAACTTTTTGAAACAAATACTACATTTGTCTCTTAACCAAGCTTAAGATCAGGTTAAAAAGAAATTTGATTTCATTTGTATTTAAAAATGAAATCATGTAATCTTTAAGTTATAAACTGGTAGTTTATATTTGTGTATAAAAATGAAATTCTGGAGTCTCTATATAAGTTATAAATTGGTAGTTTATAATAGTGGTATTACAATTATCAGCTACACTGTACAGCTAAATAAACTAAATGAAAAATTCAAAACTATTATTACTGCCATTTTACTTCTATATACACTATTAGACAGTGCTTAGATAGATTAATTGTAAACAATTATCATTTACCAATTACTAAACTTCTTCTACCTTTTAACAAAACTTTGGTCCACATTCCTAGATAAAACATGAAGGCAGAAAACACAATTTTCTTGTCTGCCAGACATTCTACTGACCATGAGTTATGGCAAAGATTGTTCTCTTCATTGTATTGTTGGTCAATATGGAACACTAATTTAGTGTGGGGAGGGTGTACCCAGTTCCCACATATAACTCAGTAAATAAAAATACCTTAAGTACATGAAAGTTATTATCCTACCAGAGTAATACTTAAATGGAAATTCTATAAGGTATGTTTCAAATATTTGCATATACTGGTACTTAAACAAATCTCTTTTTTAGAGACCTATAGTCACCCTTTAATTAATGCTAATTAAGCCTTCAAAGAAAATAGGCGAGGTGCACATAATTCAGTATGTCCATTTCAAATAATGAATTTTCCCTGTAAATAATATACACCAACATATTTCTCTGTAAATAATATACACCAAATTAGCTCAAATAAATTTTAGAATTTATTAGATAAAACACAGAATGAAATAGATATTGTTCTGTCATTTGAAACTCCTACAACACATTATCTATCAATCTTTATGTCAAATTGTACTTCAATAATCATAATACACACATCTCAAATAATATCTTATTACATCATATCAGCACTATTGACCTTATTGTTCAGTTATCTGTATACAAATAAAACATGTCCCTTATCTACATTGAACATTTCTGCTTATTTGGTATTAATGAATTTTTTTCCATGATGATAATCTCTGATAACTGGAAAATGTTCTTCTGCCAAAATGGTTATTACTGTAGTCACTTTTTCAGATTGACAAGTTACTAACTAGAAACAAAATCTTCAGACATTTTTTCCATGGTTATCATTGGACTCACATAAAAAGATATATGTCATTCCTACAGACAAAAAGTGTCTGAAAATGACCTTAGTAAATCAATAGTTTATATTGATATAATAGATCAGTAAATAGTCCAGATGTTAATAAATATATCAATGCCACTATACCAGATTCTGAATTATTGGCAATGGCAATACATTGTCAGCAATCCTTTCTCTCTGATTAAAGTTTTGTTCTAAAAATTGGAATCAAAACTTATACATCAAACAAAACAAAAGCTGTATCATCTAATAATTAAATGCAAAGAGCCATAGATAAGATATTTATTGTTTTAAAATATCCACAAAAGGCAGCATACAATATAAAATAATCTGAGAGAGAAGAGCAAAAGAAGTGTTTAACATCATTCAACACAAACCAGTTAAATGACAGACCTTATGATTTAACGTGCAGGCAACAGACCATTCGGCCATGCAACATCTCCATAAAATAATGTATTAGCCATACATAGCATATACATGAAAACTGATAGAAAAAAAAACATGACAAAAAGAGAACATAATAAACTTAAAGGAGCTAAATCGCTAAAATTTGGGACCTAGAAATGGACAAAAGTGGGTCGCAACGCATATAATACTGTAATATGAATGTATATAAACTGATTTACATTCAATGGTTTCCATTTTACTCCAATTTCAAATCAGTTATGTTTGGCGAAATAAGCCAACAGTCTCAAGCGAGTGCAAATTTCTAGCGCCTCTGGTTATTCCAGTCTACAAGCGCCGTTTGATTTGGTGAAATGTGTCTAGCCTCGTCCCTCGAGTCT